GATACTAGATGGCGCTGGAGGTGGAAAGTTCTAGCATGGCATTCTCTAGAAAGCTTTCTTAATGCCTTCTACTCGATACTTGATGGCCCTAGTGGCATTTACCGGCATCAACCATGGCGCGCAACAATATATTCATAAATACATTCGAAGAACATTACGCTCTTTCTACGGCAGTCTGGTAAATATGGATGTAATCAATGGTGAGTTATGTAACTGTCACAAACTTGGCAGAGACCACATTTGTTGTATTTATAAATGGAGCGAGGCATATTAGATTGGGTACAGTACATTATTAAAGTGTGATTTCGATAAAAACTTAATAGATATAAAGAATGGGGTTAAGTTCCTTAAGCTTAGGTTTATATGTTTTTTTGATTAAATAATTTTAAGGATTATTACATCTGATACTATTGTTCAGTATATTTTAATCAGGTTAAAAACAATCGAAGGAAATATGTACTTTTATAGACTTCCTGATAGTTATGTATCTCTTCATTATAATTAAGCTTGGACAAAAAAAGGTCCAATATTTTTAAGAAATAATGCCAATTGCTATCTTAGTATTAACAATTAATAAGTGCCTAATTTCTATTGCATTTATATAGTTCCTAAGTATGTAACATCTTCATATTAACAAATAGTTAAATCTATGTTTTTTCATATTGCATTTTAAATTAACACCATATAAACGCTCCTAATAGTAGTAAAACGTTCTAATTAATGAACGAATATAAAATTACAAATATTTCCAGATATATTATATTATAGAGTTACAAACGTAAAATATCATCTCCTGGATACCTGCAACCAACTTCAAACTTCTGATTATTTTTATCCGTGTGGTAGACTTAAATAATATGCCCCTCGGCCTGTAATCATACAAGCTCTCTTATACTTCAAACCTAATACAGCAGTGGGTGCACTGCTGGAGATGGTTTAAATCCAGATCAATTCCCCTGCAGCAAAGTACGTATCCTAACTTACCACCTCATAATTCAGAATGAATTGTTCATTTTAACCCAAAACCCTACAGTTTTTTTTTGCGCGCCGTTTCCCTGGTTTAAGGATCTCTACTACGCCACCTTCTTTCTATATATCCGGGAAAGAGCAGTTCGCGATAAGTGCTTTAAAGATTCCTACGAGGTGGTAAATTAGTAGTGTCGGAACTTTGTTACTGACTGGCCAGGGGCTGATCTATTCTTAAGGGTTTTTATGGTTTCTGTGACATCGTCTATAGTCACAGGATCGAGTGGTTCGTCCGCTGTTTTGGTAACGCAGACCTACGGTTGACTTCCCCTTCTAGGATGTGTTGGTTGACGTTTGATGGAGTGCACTAGCTCTCCAGACTGTCAGCTAGACATTCGGCTTTTTCGAAGGCTAGATCGGGGTGATTTAGCCTCATAAGAGGTGGCATGGGTGATCATTGCTCTGTTTTTAGACTGAGTTTGTTTTTTATACGTGGTAGAGCCATGCTGCAGTTATATTAGTAGTATAGTTGTAGCACGAATGAGTCGGCTCGACCAGGGAAGGATCACGCTCTCACAGGATACCAGCGTCAAATAGTAGCTTAATGCTGCTGTGTTTCGTATGGTGAGTGTAGAGAACCGGAGACGCTTTTTACTGGAAAAGAGGTATTCCATCTTAGACCTCACGGGTGAAAATTCATCTGCATTTTGATTTGTAATCGAGGATAAATGTAGATGTCTATGGGCCACAGGAACCACTTACCATCAGGTGGGCTGTGTGCTCCTTTGTCATCTATCCTATTTTTAAAAAAAGCTCTAGTCAGCTGCCAGAAGGCTTCTTGAGATGGTTCAATTTCTTCCAAGAGGTTTTTATCTTATTTATCGTTTCTAAAGGCGGCTATGCGTTGTTTAACCTCGTTTTTTAGAGAACGTAGACGATTTTTGTTATCTTCCGTGCGGTAACGGTCATAAGATTTTAGTGCGTAGTGTTCTTCGTTCTAATCAGTTGTCAAATATCTGTCCGGAAGCTTCGTATTCTTCGACCGCTGAAGTGAGGTGGCTTCGCCTATTGGCTATTGGTTTCCTTAGGCGAGCTTTTCTTCTCCGGTATGGTGTCTAAATACTGGGAGTTCGTAGACTCGAGTTTAATCTCAAGTTTACGACAGTCCACGATGGTTTTGTTCTGAGAGACCTTACCTGGTAACTCGCCCAGCTAGTATGACCGGCCTGTGTTCCGAAACTAGTTCTAAATATGTTTCTTTTGAGTTTATTGCAAACCGAAAATCTTTGAGTATCGCTACATCGGATGGAACGGACTGGATGTCCGTTCGTTGGTTTATAGTATGGAGTGTAGAAGTAAGGAGTACCAACTCCCATAGTAGAATGGTTGAAAAAGTGTCCATCTGTAAGCAGTAAATAACAGCTCAAAAACTCTCCACAACAGCGCTGGAGTAGCTACTAGGATGAAATGAACTTAGCAGTTGTCGACGGTTTAAGTGTGTAATCTAAAATAATTTTATTTAGTAAATATAACCTCGAAAAAGTCGTCTATCCCACAAATATTTTTCGGTGCGTTCTTTAAAATTTAGTTATAGAGGCGTCACCCTTATGTAACGGTTTTCTATGGACACTTTTTAATACACAGTCTGTACTCCTTACTTCTACACTCCATAGTTTATAGCAAAAGGATAGCGAGTTGGACTCTCGGGAGCGATAACATCGAAGAGTTGGGTCTTTACTTTAGGTCGCATAAGACGTTTCCGTTTAGATTGTTAACGTTACAATTCCAAATAACGTGTATACTATTTAGGTCCTCCGCGATTATAATGCTGGGGTCGAGATGTAGTAGAGTCGAAACTTTGGCTACTATTGATGATGCAATTACAATGGGCAGATGGTCCGTAAGTGCTGTGCTACAAACAAATGCTTCTAAAGTTTCAAGTGACGGAGTGTCTATTGATACGCAGTGCGAGGACCTTTAGTAGGAGATCAAAATGCCGCCTTTTGATCCGGTCTGCCTGTCATTTACCTTTGACAAACTCCAGCCAAGTAATAAAGTTTATCACCATCATCATCTCAACCCATCGCTAACTTTCTACGGTGGACAAGTCTTCTTTTAGGGCTTAGGTTAGACCTCCACACCGGCCAAGTGCGGATTTGAGATCATTTTGGACACCTCTCAGGCATACAAGTTTCCTTACGATGTTTTCCTTTGCCATTTAACAGTATAGTATTATAACTGAATATAAAAGAAATTTCCCGCTAAATATTTTATTAATATTTTATAAAAGTAATTATAGCCATGATTTCGGTGTTAAGTGGCTGAACTCCAGGAATTCCTGTTGCAAAAGATGTACTGATTCCAACAATTCATCTTCTGAGTCACTTGAGTCGCTTTCACTGTAGCTCTGTAACTGTTTAATAAACGGTTCATCTACATACGCGTCTTTTTGTCTATATTCATTTTAATTTTTTTTACATAATTAGTATGGATTTTCACACCACCGGTGCAATTTTATGAAATGCATTTTCAATTAATTGAGGAATTTGAACACTAGATTTTCCAACATTTTTGTCTTCTATGTTCCTTTTCATAGAGTTCTTATATCACAAACAATGGAAATTGTGTTCATGTCGCAAAGCCATGGCTGTAATCTAAGAAATAAGAATAAAATGGCCGTCATCAGATCAGTCATCAGACTTTTCATCGGATTACTAATTTCGAATTCCGTAGCAGGTTTACGACTTATTGACTCATAAAGCTAAAAATGAGAATGAAAATATGATTTTTTTTATTACATGTGAAGTGAAAATAAACTCAACACTTATTCAAGAAAGTAACATCACAAAAAATGTATAAACACAATACTCATTTTTTAAATTTGTTTTTATAGGTCAACAGTAGGTTCAGTGCTGCAATAGCAGCAATGAACACAGCGTAGACTATTGTTTACGCTCTTTTCTTCAAGCGGAGTCAGTATGAAAGTTGAACTGATTTAGAATCCAATATTTTAATATTTTCAGAAGAGTGTAAGATGAAGGAGTAGAATTTATTTCAACAGAATTTTTAGTAGAAAAGTAATTTATGTAACCGGCGTGGAAGTGTATGTGGAGTTGCGGAATAGTGGACGTTCAGTGTTAAGTGAGTGCCGTGGTAGCTCAGTGGTTAACGCTCGCTGTAAATATAACAGAACGCGAGTAACCCGGGTTCGATCCCCGCCGGCACCAATGAAATTGCTAATTGCAATTTTAAGTGCTGATTTACCACGTGCTCGGCGGTGAAGGAAAACATCGTGAGGAAACCTGCATGTCTGAGGAATAAGAAAAAAAAATATTTCGAAGACATGTGAAGTTCAACACGCATTTGGGCAGCGCGGCGGACACTTCCTTGCCCTAAAACCCTCTCAGAAATGAGGGGAGGCCTGAGCCCCAGCAGTGGGACGTATATAGGCTGTAACTTTAACTAACTTTACAGTGTTAAGAGATGGAGTATGACTCTATGACGAAGTACTATACGGAATCTGTTTGGAAGAGTTTGGGGAGTTGTGAGGTGGTGGACATTCAGTAGTTGGAGATGGATTTTGACTTTGTGAGAACGAAAAGAAGACTTCGTGATTGTTGGCCTAAATATAAACCGAACATATTGTTATGAGTAATGCCTGTATTATCTGAGACCACAAGCTTTTTTTGCAACATTGGCCAATTCCTCTTGAATTTTAGTGTTTTCTAGTTTCTTTCTTCTAATTTCACTCAGTTTCTAAAGTTACCTAAAAGAAAAAAAAGTTAATAATGCTTGCGTAATTGTTTTAGTTCCCATCATCTCTTGAGGAATGGAAACAAATCGCAGAGGACTTCTTCCCCACTGCTTGGCTGCAATGGACAGGAAGCATACTATACGGGGTTGGATGAAGTGGTGTTGTGATTTTGGAGGATCGTTCCGTTTTTGGTCCTGGGTTGGGGTTTGTGAGGGGTGTCTTAATCTGTGGGTTGATCTGGGCTGTGCTTGTTCAGAGAGGGGTGAGTTTCGGGGCCGTTTTACATCATTGTTCGAACCCACGGATTTGAGGTCCTTCCTGGATGATGGAAAGGGTTTCTAGGAGACCCCTCATAACTTAATTGATAAAAGAATCCTCGCTGAGACCAGTAAATTGCCCGTCTTCCTAAGTGGGAGGAGCATTCAGAGATTGGATCTCTTATATCTAACTCGATGGGAGTGTCTTCTGGAGTTGGAGACAACTGCAGATGACTAGATTGCTTTTGAGTGATAACCATTCTGGAGTCAAAGAATACATGATAGTCATCACACCACATGTCTTGAGACGGCATGATGGCCCAACTCCTACGGAAATAATCGGGAGGAAGTGAGTGTGAAGAATCCAAATTTAGAGACAGATTATGTTTAAAGATATTGTCTTCCAAATTAAAAGAGGTTTTAATGATGGTGAGTTGTCTTATATCATAGGTTCCCCATAGCTTCTCATAAGTACATTGCAGTTTCTCTAAATACGGATGATCTCTAATATATAAATGGTCTCCATCCCGGAATTTATCAAGGGAGTCCCATCCATGCTTCAGGGGGAGTCCGCCAGTCAGCACTGGAAGGATTGCTGTCACCTCAGGTTGGGATGAAAAGAAAGGACATCGATAGGTAATCAGTGATTCCCAATAAATCACTCCATGCACTGTAGTTATATTTGCGAAGACGGTCCCACATCATCAGATACCTAAGATCATTGGGCTCGAGATATGTTCTAATTATTACAATAAATATTTTTAGTGTTAATCTTTTTGCTGTGGTTAATGCTAAATATGAATACTTCTATGTCCATGCTAGAATGAATGGTCGAGCAGCAGATTTTGGCGTTTTAAGAACGAAAGAACTAAGTTTTACGAAAAACTTATTGATGAATCACTGAATTTGCCTGATGAAAGTATTGTTACATTATCAATGCAAGGTAGGAACATGCAATTACAAATCAGCCTTTAAACTTAACCTAGATAATTAATTTGAGCACTTTTATCAGACTTTAATTTGATGGTCCAAACAAATTGGAATTTGGCACTTGTTGCACCTTGCCTTGCTTTTTCTGTCCCTTATTCTAGGACAGAATCCACAGCGTCCTTGTGTATGATGCAACTGAACTGGGGTTGGTAGTTTTTTAGAATACCTGACATGGATTCTTTCATATCCCGCCTCAAAGTTGGCTTTTGTATACAGTCCTTCAAATATTCTGTAATTAGACTCTAACCCAGTTGCTTTAAAAAGTGCGACGATACTTTATTTCTGGCTTGCTGTTTGCTCTTGAACACTTGTATATGACCCAAGAATTAATGCCAGGTTGCATTAAGCAATCCATAAAAGAGGCAAAGAAATTTGAAAAAGTAATTATATATATACAAAACAACTATATAATCTAGTTCTAGGCACCGAAGGGAATATAAATCAGATTATTGAATATTATTTTTTTGCGCCACCACCAATGTAAGGGCGACCAACTATAGTGCACGCAAGATAACTTACAACTTTTAACTTTGCGCGCGAACCGCGAACCGCGAATTATAGCGTAACAAAGTGGCCATTGTCTTGTTTTTTCTGAACGGAATATTTTTTTGCCATCGCGTCAAACACGTCCACACCCCCTTTAGTTTTATTATAATATTGTATTATTTCGGGGAGCTGTTCATCATTCGCCTTGTCTGGGGTGTCGTGAAGAGTAGATATCTACTTTCTTTTATTTCGATTTTGTGGGCAATAAGACAGAAGAGTCAGTGGCTCATCATAGCAGAACATAGCTGTGTTTTTTTGCGCGTTTTTTTCAATTCCAAAAATGTTGCAGGTATCTCTCGCTTATTCTTACGTGTTGTGCCCACCATGTTAGAATCTTTTTGCGTCAAATTCTTGGCTAAATATACACTAGTAAACCAGTTATCCATGGTAATGTTGCGGCGAGATTCAAATATTGGTTTTGCGAGTTCTGTTACATAGTACTCGGCACAGATAAATTTGGTGGTGCAGATGTTTGGCATACATATACCATAGCTTTTAACATATAGGCAGTCTGCATCACACATCATCAAAATTTTAATCCCATAGTTGTCAGGTTTAGAGGGTATATAAACATTTATTATATGTATATAAAAACTTTATATAAACATTTTGAAAACGTATCGTCCATCAAGTGACAACAGTTGTTCATTAATAGTACAAAACTCAGATGGGGAATAAAGAGCTTCACAAGTTTCTACAATGTGATCAAAAACTTCACGTACTGGAGCCAAGCGATCTTTTTCACGTCTTTCAGCACGAGTTAGTTTGTCATCGAATCGTAGACACTTAGTTGAAAATTCAAAGCGACAGCGACTCATTGTAGCTCTGGAAATGGACCCTACAGTCTTTTATCAAATAAATCTTTGGTGTTCATGTCATTCATTTTCAAAACTCCAGTCAAGTGATAAAGTCCAATCAAAGCCTTCAGTTCAGTTATTGTCACTGGCTTTACAAAAGATGGAAGCTTAGTAGAACCACTGGCGACAACCTCTTCAATATGCTTATTTTCTTGGTATCCTTTATATTTTTGTCACTGTATCTCAATTTCGGAGTTAGTATGCATGACCACTTTATTCAAAATTTCGTCTGTAATATAAAGGGGCCAACCTTCTGAAACCGAATTTGTATCCTGTGCTGGACCTTTGTTTCCAAGCAGTTTCATTATGATATTGCGTTGAGGAAGTCTACGCCGAGTTAGTAGGACTCCACTTCATTTATGTCTACCCACATACCCACAGCAATCCCACATATATAAGTTATACCCACAGCAATCTAAATAATGGCAGGCAATATTATTTAGATTTGTGATAATATGTGTTACTGCTACTATGTGGTGGATGCCTGACTAACTTTTTTTCCAAAAATAAACTTATTACAATATTTGCATAAATATTTTAATAATTTCATTTTATGAACAGTTAATTGATTCCCTTGTTATATAGGGGAAAGTGGGGGAATTGGGAACACGTATCTTCCAACGCCCAAAAATAATAGAAAAAGGTCGCAGACGTAATCAACTTTTATTGCAACATAAATTTTGCTTCTTTATCTACTTATTAGTGACAAAAAATCTTAAAAAACAACGTTTCATTAGAAATACGAGGGTGGATTGAAAAGTACTCGGCCTAACCAAGAAAATAAACACATACTAAATCATTTATATTTTTATTTTTCTACATAATCACCATCAAGTTCAATACACTTTTGCCACCTCCCCTTCCAAGCATTTAGACCGTTGAAAAAAAATGATTCTTCCTTAAAGTCAAAATATGCGTCTACAGCTGCTTTGACCTCGTCGTTTGTCGAAAATCTTTGACCTCCCAAGTGCTTTTTTAGGTTAGGGAACAGAAAGAAGTCTGATGGTGCCAGATCAGGTGAATACGGCGGATGCGGTAACAGTTCAAAGCCACAGTTGTGAATTTCAGCCATTGACTGTACTGACGTGTGAACACGGGCGTTATCTTGATGAAACGGGACTTTTCTTCTGAGCATTCCTCGACGTTTTTCTTTTATTTCCTCTCGTAAACGACGTAGTAAGGTGCAGTAGTAATCAGAGTTTATAGTCTGACCCCTTTCAAGATAATCAATCATAATCACACCTTTCGAGTCCCAGAATACTGAAGCCATCACCTTATTTGCCGACAAAATCGACTTAGCCTTTTTAGGGGGTGGTGAACCAGGTCTTCTCCACTGTTTTGATTGTTGTTTTGTTTCCGGTGTACAGTAATGAACCCATGTTTCGTCCATAGTAACAAAACGATTCAAAAAATCATCTGCATCGGCTTCAAATAACTCCAAACAGTCGCGTGAAATAGTCAATCGCGTCCTTTTTTGTTCAACTGAAAGCAATCGCGGAACCCACCTCGCAGACACCTTGTGGAAACCCAACTCGTTGACAATGATGTTTTGAGTTCGTTCATAAGAGATGCCTATAATCTCGGCTATCTCTCTAATTTTTAATCTGCGGTCTCCCATTATTAAATCAAGTACTTTTTTAATATTTTCGTCAGTAGTTGACGTCGAAGGCCTTCCAGAGCGGGGTTCATCTTTCACACTCTCTCTACCACGCTTAAATTCTGCTATCCATTTTTTGACGGATGAATATGACAGAGCACAATCGCCTAATGTACTGACCATGTCATCATGGATGGCTTTTGATGATAGCCCCTTCTTATGGAGGTACTTAATGACGGCACGCTGCTCGATTTGCTCCATTCGCGGAAATTATGTCCGATTACTTTGTTAATAAATTTATAAAATCACAGCTAATTATCGCACACGTTTCGAACTTCACACAATGAACTAGTCTGAACTGAACTAAATAATGTGGGTAGATTTGATTTTTAGAATTGAATGGATCTGTGTTAGGCCGAGTACTTTTCAATCCACCCTCGTATGAACGAAAACATCAAACATTGCCGTTTATATTTATGGTACGGGGGAAATGAGAATGGTATGGGGTAATTAAGGACGACATAATTCAACCTTTATAATAAACTAGAATAATTTATTTAGGTGGAACATATCACACACTTAACTTTTACTAGTATCGCCGGTAGTACATAGTATAATTTTCGTTGCATATTATACAACGCGGTCACATTAACTTGACGCATGGCATTGATAACGTCATTTTGGCGGTCAGGTACGGTGCGAAAAAAAAGCATGTAGCTGACTAAATAAAAACTATATTTTTGATTTTGGAGCATAGGTTTTATTTGTTAATCTTGCAATATGTTGCATCATGTATTTTTTATACAATATAATTTAAAACTATTTTATGTTGATAGATAAATATTTATTCAAAATTTATCTTCACTATAAATAATTGGTACAATATCATGGTCTAAATTGTCTTCTTCTTCACTTTCGATCTCGCTGTCGGATGACTCTTCTCCTCCAAGATCGATTACAAGTTGCTGCAGTACGTCGTCAACCAGGCCATCTTTTTCCCAGTATTCCTGAAAATAAATAAAATAGTGTTATAAATTTAGTCTCGCAGCCACTGTTCATGTCTCCTTTTAACGTTGCACTTGTGGGCGCCTTCACCGACTGCGTTGAGTGGTAAGGCGCGTTGTCAATGACGACTATACTATTTGGGGGCAAGTTTGGTATCAGCTTTTCATTAAGCCATTTCAAAAAATTCTCGGTATTCATTTCATGATGGTAATCGCCAGTAGTACTTTTGCATTTGTATAACAAATCTGCATCTGGGATAAATCCGTTTTCTCCTCCAGCTTGCACCAGAATCCACCGTTGACCCGGGTTAAAATTTTTATTCACGCTGCTATCTGTGCTGTTTTGCCAGAATTTGCTGACGGTATAATGGGAATGGATCCACGTTTCATCCAGGTAGATAACTGGTTTTTTACCTGCGCCGAGGTCATTGTTCTCTTTCATTCGGCGCAGGTAGAGTTCTCTCCGTGCGGCTATATCGGCTTTTTGAATTAGCACCGAACGCGCACTTTTCCATTTTTTAAATTTATAAACCAACTGATTTATTAAAATATTTCTAAGGAAATTTCTTCCACCTTGAAAATTAAGATCTCTCTTAACAGCTGCCAAGATTTTTTTAAGCGTGTGTACTTCCCAGTACAGTATAAAAGTCCCTTTTTTACAGTATAAAAGCTGTTGATGATACTGCGTATTGCGCAAATATCAAAATCATCCACGGCAATTTTTATCGCTGATTGTTTACGCTTTTTACCCGGTGTGGATAACTTTATATCCCTTGTGGCCGTGGAAGGAAAAGGGAGATCTCCCGCCGGGCAAGGTGTTCTGCCCGGGGAGCGGCTCACACTCCGTGTGATAATTCGGAGATGTTCTATATATACTGTTTATGATTCGGAATGTTGATAGCGCGATTTAGGCTTCGGTGTGTTTTCGCTTGTGGCGGCGACGACAGCGCCGCTACATCACCCCCCTGCTCAGACCGGAGGTCGATAGTGCAGCCTTGTTGCCGACGAATGTGCAAGTGCCAGGGGATTGCCTTGTAGTCTGCGGTGAGTCGAGAAGAAGGCAAGTAATCTGCGAGAGTGCCGTGAAGCAGAGGCGAGCAGTAAGGCTCAGAGCCGTGCCGAACACTGTATAGCGCAGAGAGTAGCTTGAAGGAACAGGAAGCATTATTATTCCAGTGCTGCGATAAACCTTGTGAAGCTAGATGGCTTGCAGGATATGAAGACTGCAGTTTATATCTGCTCGGAAGCGAATGGGTGGGGTATTCTATGACGATGATGAAGCTTGAAGTTTCCGAAGGTTGTTTGGTTGCGTGTTCAGATCACGTCGGGGTCACCACTGTGGCCGTGGAAGGAAAAGGGGAGATCTCCCGCCGGGCAAGGTGTTCTGCCCGGGGAGCGGCTCACACTCCGTGTGATAATTCGGAGATGTTCTATATATACTGTTTATGATTCGGAATGTTGATAGCGCGATTTAGGCTTCGGTGTGTTTTCGCTTGTGGCGGCGACGACAGCGCCGCTACATCCCTCATTGGATTGTCTGTAGTACTTGAACTGGGACAAATATCAGTGCTTGGAACGGTGCTAGTATTTGGGGCCGTACTAGTACTCGAAGCCGTGCTAGTGCTTGGACTAGCGTCGGGCAAAGAAGCCGACGGTGGTACACATGCCTTTTAGGCCTCCTTTTTATACGAGTAAGAGTACTTCTTGATATTCCAGTTGTTGCACAGGTTCGTTTATCAACCTGATCTACAGGTATGCAAAAGCGTCTATTTTTATTTTCGTTCTCGAAAAACTGCAGCACTTTCAGTACAAGATTTCTCCCTTCACTGTGTATAGTTTTCCCCATGTTAAAAAATGAGTAGTAACAAAAATAGTCCAAAATTAACAAAAACAGTCCAAACTTAAAAAATAACGAAAACGTAACAAAATGTCCAAAAACAGCCAAACTTAAACAATAACGAAAACGTAACAAATTATCCAATAACAACAATAGCAACAGAAAACTAGTTAACATATCGACGCGCGTATCGGTAACATAGATGCTAACCATACTGACGATTGCGGGGCGAGCTAAGGGAGTGCGGGGGGAACCGGGCGGGGCCTCGCATTCCAGCGATGCGTCAAGTTAATGTGACCGCGTTGTACAGTAAAACTTCTCTTCGTTTTCATTTCCTTGTAAAGCGTTATTCGAATCTGACTACTTTAGCATTGACTCGTGGCTTTTTATGTATGGTATTAATGTCCTTTTTTGGTTTTTTAGTTGGAATTTTTTCTTTTTTAACTTTACGCTCACTTTCTTTTTGGTTTTTCCTATAGGTGAATTTTTATTGTTGTGCTGGATAAAATCTGAGAATGCTTCTTACGCTGTTGCTTAGAAGTGGTTATCGTTTTAAGAATAACAGGCACATTGATAATTTCTACAAGAGTTATAGGTGTGAAATGAGGAGGAATATTAATGATAACGTTCAAACCGTTTTCATTTTCAAGTATAGAAGTGGCATCCTGTGTTGGTGTTTGACTCTGGCAGTGTTATCGGACTCATTCAAGCTTTGCTCAGCTGTAGATCTGTGAACATCGCACTCTTGAGTCTAACTGGTGTGAAATTGGTCAAACAAAGTATTTTCAAATCTGTATTTAAATTTGTGAGGATCAATAGGATGAATTCCAGCTGCTCTAAATCTACTGACAGCCTTGCTTATGTGAGCTGTCTTGTTGTATGCCTTTGTAAAAAGTATTCAAACCTCGTACTGGCTTATTCGTTTGCCAGGATCGTTAACCATGTATAGCTCACATTCTTTATTGTACGCCATCTCCAGTGAACTGGAGATTGTAAGATCCAGTGACTGCATTTTGTAAGATACACATGGTGGCAAGAAAAGAACTTGCAGGTTGTATTCTCGGAAAAGTTCGTATGCTCCCAGGCTGATATGACTTTTGTGATTATCAAATATTATTACTATTGGTTCTTTTTTGGTAGGTTTCACGAAAGAAATGAAGAGTCGCAAGAAGTCAATTAATATGGACTCATTTATCTAACTGGAAAAACAAACGGTGGCAATCATGTCGCTATTACAGTTCGCTCATTCTCTTTCTTTTGAAAATAAACATGGGATGTACATATATGCCACTAGCACTGGCAGTACAAAATGCTGTTGTTAATTTAAATCTGTTGGAGCCAAACTCTTGTAATTTTTTGTACTGTGCTAATGCCGGTCTCATCAATATTAAAAATACGATGACCAAATATAATGTATTTTGTTTGGATCGTTTTTCATTGATGAAAAAACAAATTTACTTCGGTTGCGTTAAAAGCTGTAATTCTATTAAATGAAGTAGCTTCTGGAATCTGTAAACTGATGAAAGGATGTCGAGACATACAGCCGTAGTACCAGTATGCCTGACAGCTGGATTTCTTGGTTAGAATTATGTTTCAGTTTGTTAGCTTCAGCAAATCGAAAGGCAATTCTACGTAATGAACTTGGTATTATACCATAAAAAGACGTGCAGCAATCAAGTATATATTTTTCTAGCTAGTCTTCTTTTTCGTTATTAAATACAGTATACCGACCTTTTTTTGGAATCTTAAATTCGTTTTTGTTTTAGTGGTTTAATAACGTTGTCTTTGAAACTGAGTATTTGGTAGCAGCTTGACAAAATGTAAGCGTTTTACTTTTGACATCTTCGATTGCATGGCGAAGATCTTCGGTAGAGTTCATTCTTTATGCGATAGTAGGTACTAGTGATGTAACGGATATTCGCATTCGCATTCGCAAAAATTATGCTAATATTTAGCGAATGTTTTTAATAATCAAAAAGTAAATTATTATAAGCATGCATATGAAATAATAATACAATAGATAACACTTTTATATATTTTTATTAAATCGTACTTCTACATTCTAGTGGTCCTGCCTTTGCGCGAGTACTTTTTATCACACAACTTGCAATTAACATTTTCAGCATCAAATATTGTAAAATAAGTCCAAACTTCGCTGATGTGTGCTTTACTCATGTTTTTATTCCACTTTGTCCCTTAAATATCAGTTAAATTTGATAAATAACATAAAACTAACCTCAAAATAAAACAAAACTTTTAGAATGAACTTTTTGTGACTAAATTCATTCAATTAACCAATATCGGCTCGGCTATCTTCAATTTGAACATGGCCGACACGAAATGTCAAACCTGTCAAACATTTTACGCGCGCTTTTTTTGAAATTCCAAAATATTCTCATTCGCATTCGCATTCGCGAATGTGAAAAATCCAACATTCGTTACATCACTAGTAGGTAGTGCTAGGTCCGTATATATACATCGTCAATACATCATTGATATATTACGTAGAGTTTGATACGCATTGTTTACATGACGAAACTCATATTTAACAAGTTTATGTATTATATTACGATTGGATTTCCTGTATTTTTTTTTGCGCGGATCCCTAATTCTGTTTCAAAAATAAGGGTAATCTAAGTTACTTCTTCTAACATCGGCTAGTGAAAGTCCCGGCAAAATAGGTCCACCTATTTCGGAGATTAGCCGGAACAAATATACAGACAGTCGTACAAATCCTTTAAAAATTGTTTTTTTCTTCTGCTTATAACCTTACTTTACTATGTATACTTTCATATGCATTTAGTAAAAAGCCGTTTGACATAACAAACAGATAATCTAATTTTATTTATTTGTAAAAATGTTTTTTCAATAATGTAGATAATCATTTAATTAAAAATTGATTTTTTAAAACGGACTAAAAAGTATAAAATTCTTTGTTTTTTTTTTCATATTCTTCATCGTCATCCGATTTTGAGCATGTTCAAAATTTTAAGTTTAGCTCATCGGGAAGTTACTTTAAAATCAATTACTAATTTGACCAGAAGACGTACACGAAAGCGAGTTATTAAAAGTGCGAGTTGGTAAAAATAACAAATTTTCGTGGAGCTATTATTAAAAGTATAAATATACCGATGTAGCAAAGAAACTAAAGAATAACTGATTTTTGACAAGATAATAAATAACATACCTTTTATATCATAGATAAAGACCGAATAGTTTAAAGATTGTAAAGGCTTACTTTAATCATATACTTTTTACGTGGTAGAGCCACGCTGCGGCTATATTATGGTTGTAGCACGAATGGGTCGGCTCGACCGGGGTAAGGCCACGCTTTCACAGAATACCAGCGTAAAATAGCAGCCTAATACTGCTGTGTTTTGTATGGTGAGTGTAGAGATCCGGAGACCCTTTTTTACTGGAAACGAGGCATTCCATTTTAGTCCTCAGGGGTGACAACGTATCTGGGTTTTCATTCTTAATCAAGGATAAATGTAGATGTCTTTGTGCCACAGCATCTACTTACCATCAGGTAGACTGTGTGTTCGTTTGTCACCCTTATTATATATAAAAAAAATATACACAGAACAAAATGAACAACATAACGGTAAATTTAATAGCTCTCTATCACAGCATAATAATGACAAAATGTGCAATATACCTATATTATTTAATTTAAAAGGAAATATACAAATTCTAGTACTTACATAAAGTGCATAAAGTAAGTTTCTTAAGAATTTGTGATGTATATGTTTTACTTTTTTAATTCTATTTGTAAAAATTGTAATGGCTTTCTTCTTTTACTTACTTATTACTTAATGTTTTAGTTGTAAGTTTCCAAAATAACAACATAAAATAAATTACCCTAATTTTTGTACATAAAATAAAATGAACATTCCATTAAAATATTTTGTTCATAGATTCGATACGATCTCATATCGTCAAAATGTCAGTTATTAAGTATGTTTTGTGGCCTACTTACTTCAATATAATGATGCTAAGTGTGTATGATGCGGCCTATGATTTTCCTCACTATTTTATTTATCATAGAAATGTTATCAACTGCTTTTAATTTCTAGCGATTAAGTTTTGTATTAATGTATAACTTGTAAATTATATGTCAATTTCGAGAAATTGAATTTATTTATTGTCAATTAAAATATTTACACGCAATGTTGTTTTTTATTTTTCCTTTTACACACCTAATAAGTAAACGTTTATAGATGTAGTTATATATGCAAGGACGGCGCGGCAGCGAGTGCTGCGATTGTACCCGGCACCGTCGTAGGTGTGGTGTTGCAAGAGTCTGCTCAAAAATTAGAACACAATAAGAACTTTTCTAGAAAAAATACAAAATAAAATTAACAGGCCATCTCGACGGTCTTATTTCCAGAAAACTAAAAATATTCACAAATGGCTCAAAAACTGATACATGTATAATATTAATAATGTCCTCCAGACCGAATTTCGGCCACGGCGGGCTGCCTCAACGGAGGCTAGCCATCGACGCAGGACAGGATTATAGTGCCCAAGTGTAATGCACAAGCACAGGTGCACTCTCTGTTCCCTCACTCTCATAATCCGGTGGGACTGTAAACCGACACGACCGGAGAGAGATCAAGCGCAGGACCAACGGCTTTACGTGCTTTCCGAGGCACGGGGGTGAGACACCGCCATCTTCCTGACTCCGGTCAGCTACTGCGAATTTCTTGACTGAAAAACTCAATAATTGATTTTTTGGCCCGACCCGGGATTCGAACCCAGGACCTCATGACCAGCAGTCGCACTAATACAACCACTAGACCAACGAGGCAGTCGATACATGTATAGCATGACCACGTATATACACTACGGCTGCGGGCACGAAATTAGCGACGGTCGAGCGATGGCTGTAGCGTAGCGGGGCGGAGTGGCGCGACGCGATTCGACAGCGGTATCTCGCGTGGGCATGAAACACGAAATAGTGCAGCGCTCGGTCAGTCGCGCCAGAGTAGTGTTGTAATTAACATGAGTTTAAGTCGAAGAGAACTTTTGGAGCCTAGTCTCCTAATGAGAACGGAATTGTATTAACTAGAGATGATGTACATTCAATAAATCAAAAGAGAATTAGTTTAGGTGAATTTTCTATCCTTCATTATGAATTAAGGTGTCATTCAAAGGAATTTTATAAATACTCGAGCAAGCGGTGAAATAAAAATAGTTTGTTCCTGTCGCCATCGCCCGTGCATCGTTCGATCGCGTCGTTTGTTTACGTCGCTGTCGCATCGCGCCGCCCCGCTACCGCCATCGCTCGACCGTCGCTAATTTCGTGGTCGCAGCGAGCTAGCTAGAGTTGGAACGGCACTTGGCGCCATACAGTCAGAACCGAATATACCGATTCCTTTTAAACTTGCTAGTTCACTGGTAAGTAAACGCTTTAATATAATAAACATGATCAGTACTGTTTTCTACAATGGTAAAGCCACGCTGCAGCTAAATTATGTTAGTAGGATGAATGGGTTGGTTCGACCGGGAAGATCCACGCTCACACAGAATACTAGCGTAAAATAGCAGCTTAATGCAGGTGTGCTTGTATTGTGAGTGAAGAGAATCTGAGATTCTTTTTACTGGAAATAAGGCACGCTATCTTAGTCCTCAGGTATAACAATACATCTACTTCTTGATTCTTAACCGAGGATAGATGTTAGTTTCTATAACCAAAGTGTCCACTTAAATCAAGTGGTCTTAGTGCTCGTTTTCCACCCTTATTCTTTAAAAAGACTACTAACTATGAAGATGGCAGACAGGCTACGCAAAGCCTGCCTGCAATAAATGGCCAGGCCAAAAGCTCCAGATCCGTATAGTAACCAGTGCTATTACAGGTCATGGTTATTTTAACAAGGATCAATTTGCCACAGGTATTACAGGCATTCCGTTATGTAGAACTTGCATGAGGGACGAAGAAATGGCGATTCACGTGCTGCTGTTATGTCCGGAGGACGTCATTTACAAGGCTAAAAATCGGCGTGCCGAGGT